ATCTATCTATCTATCTATCTATATCTATCTATCTATATCTATCTATCTACTTTTGTCCTTAAAGTCCACCCACCAGGGGCGTGGGGTCAGTGCTGTGTTTTCGTCTCTCTCTGTGGATGTGTCACCAACTGGATATGCAGTTAGAAGCATTTGCTTCAGTTGGTCACACATTTTGAAAATATAAAAATTTCTCTGCCTTTTGTTAATTTCGTAATAAAAACATTTCCAGGAGGTAGGTGTGAATAAATACGCTGAGCAAATGCATCCAGGAGAGAAAAGGGTCTTCCCTTTCAACCTGCTCTCCTCCTGCCCCTAAAGTGTGGCCAGGGCATGTGCAACCTCACCTTTATGTGCCCTAGGCACGCAGCCAGGGTCTTTGCAGATACTGTCTCGGGTGACCGTCGCTACCGCCAAAGGAGGGAGATATTTTTATTATGATTTGCCAGTGAAGAAATTGACTCTCAAAAAGGTCAAGTAACCCCCCAAGTCACACTATTAGGACATGAAGAGTTCAGAATTCAATGACAAGTGTGTCTTGTCTAAAACCCTATATCCTTTTCCATCCTGCCACGTTACTGTCATTAATAATTCTCTACTAAAAAAGGAAACATATGTAATACTCTTTGTAATACTTTAAGCAATAAAAAAATAAAAATAAAAAATAATTCTCTACTATAACATCCAAGTCTAGAACTTTGTTCCACCCCAGTTCAAGAGAGATTTAGCTTGTTTATTTTTTTACTGCTTCAGACTACATCTGGCACGTTCCTAACAGCTGTCTTGGCAATAGCCCAAACTGGAAATGCCCCAAGTGCTCTACTAGTCGCAAGAGAATGAAAGAATTACTGCCAATGTTATGACTTGGGTGAATCTCAGAAAGAGAAGGATGAGGGGAAAAAAACAGAAATGAAAATAAAAATGCTGTATGTTAGCATTTATATAACGTTCAAAAACAGATCAACTAAATCTGTGGCCAAAAGTGGTGGGTCAGTGGCTGGGTGCCGGCTGTTCGATTTCTTTCTTTTTTTAAAAAATATTTTTTATTGATTTTTTTTTTTTTTTTTTTTTTTTACAGAGAGGAAGGGAGCGGGATAGAGAGTTAGAAACATCGATGAGAGAGGAACATCGATCAGCTGCCTCTTGCACACCCGCTACTGCGGATGTGTCCACAACCAAGGTACATGCCCTTGACTGGAATCGAACCTGGGACCCTCCAGTCCGCAGGCCGACGCTCCATCCACTGAGCCAAACCAGCCAGGGCTGATTTCTTTAATTGGGTGCTGGTTACAGGGGAGTGTTTGTCAAACATCAGTATTGGCTGAATGTTGTTACCCTTAACGGGAAAGGAAGCCAGGGCTTAGAGAGGTTAAATACTTTGCCTAAGGTCACATAAAAGTGCCTGAAGCAGGATTCTAACTCAGTTCTCTCCAAGGCCAGAACCCATTTGCTTAACCTCTGCATATGCCTCAGAAGAGCAGCACGGAGGAGGCATTCTGGGTGCAGGAGGGGCCAGCTGGGGCCTGAGGCTGGCGGGGGGGGGGGCACCTTGACCAGGGACAGGCCCTGAACTGAGTGTGCTCCCGAGGCACCTGGGAATGCCCTAGAATGAGAGGCTGGGTTTCGGCTCTGGAGCAAGGCATGGGATCCTGAAAAAGCATCAGGGACCAGGGAAAAGCCATGGTGTCCACCCAAAAGGACCTTCTGCAGCTGTCACTATCCATCAGCCTCCCAGCTGTCTGCCACCGAGATCCAGTCATCACAGTGGGAAGGATACCAGACCCCAAGGCCTTTCTAATGAACCAATGTGAAATCTCAACCAGTAACCAGAATGAGTCATTCTTACTCTAAGTGTATACATTAGCCCGGCCGGCGTAGCTCAGTGGTTGAGCGTCAATCTGTGAACCAGGTCACGATTGATCCCCAGTCGGGGCACATGCCCAGGTTGTGAGCTTAATCCCGTGTGGAGGGTGCAGGAGGCAAACAATCAATGATTCTCTCTCCTCATTGATGTTTCTCTCCCTTCCTCTCTGAAATCAATAAAAATATATTAAAAAATAAATATGGATGGATGGACAATTGAATAATATTTACATACTAGAGGCCCGTTGCACAAATTTGTGCACAGGTAGGGTCCAGCCAGCTGGCCCCGATTGGGGCCGATCAGGGGTGGGCTGGCCGGGGACAGGGGCCATGGGCGATTGGCCAGCTGGCCCTGCCCCCTGGTCGAACTCCCAGTTGAGGGGACAATTTGTATATTAGCCTTTTATTATATAGGAAACCCATGGCCATTGAATCACACTGTTGGGATGGCTGGAGAGGCATGGCAAAATGACATAACAGTTAGGGTCAAAGGTTAAGATTTATTGTACTATCCATTGCATTCTTGCAGAAAAAGGCTAAAACTCAAAGTACCTCTTTTTCTTAGCCTGTAAACCAGTGGTTCTCAACCTTGGCTGCACATTAGAATCACCTGGGAATCTTTTTAAAATCCTGATTTCTGGGCCTCATCCTCCGGAAATTCTGTTTCTTTGTTATGGGGTGAGGCCACAACATTAGTAACAAAGAAACAGAATTTCCGGAGGATGAGACCCAGAGATCAGGATTTTTAAAAGATTTCCAGGTGATTCTAATGTGCAGCCAAGGTTGAGAACCACTGCTGTAAACAATTCATAAGCTTTTCTTTTTAAAAATCCTCACCCGAGGATATGTTTATTGATTTTAGAGAGAGAGGAAGGGGGAGAGAGAGAGAGAGAGAGAGAAGGATCCACTTGAAAGAGAAACATAAGTTGGTTTCCGCCCATGCACATGCAACCTAGATATGTGCCCGGACCAGGAATTGAACCCACAACCTTTTGGTGCATGGGACGGTGCTCCAACCAACTGAGCCACCAGCCAGGGCTCAGCCTGTAAGCAATTCGGAAGCTTTTTATTTCCTTAGCAACACAAAGCCTCTGAGGGCCAGGATGTATTCACAGAGGGAGGCTGTGTCACCTGTTCTCCCCTTGGAAAAAAGACCAGCAGCTGTCCCAGGAGAGCCGCTCCTTCAAACCTAAGACGCGGGCCTGCCAGGCTCAGCCCGGGCTCCCGGAGAGAATTCTGCGGGCAGCAGCCTCCTCCCATACCCGTAAGGAAGAGGGCTCTCGGATTAGGGTCACCGCTGGCCTCGCCGCTGCTCTAAAGCCCTGGCCCTTCAAGGCCCACCTGTCAATCTTCATTGGCCCCGCGCTGTGTTGTTATTGAGGGGAGGACGTGAACAGCTCTCAAGTGTTTCTATCTCCACCACCAGTGGGCTATCACCCCTTATAAGTAAACTCTCAGAAAACATTTTTTTTTATTGTGGATAATATTACAAGTATCTCCTATTCCCCCCCCCGTTTCGTTCCCCCTCCTCCCAGGCCCTACCCACCCGCCCCTCCAGGCCTTCATCATCCTATTGTCATGTCCATGGGCTATGAATAGCCTATATAGCAGCGGTTCTCAACCTGTGGGTCGCGACCCCTTTGGGGGTCGAACGACCCTCTCACAGGAGTCGCCTAAGACCATCGGAAAACACATATATAATTACATATTGTTTTTGTGATTAATCACTGTGCTTTAATTATGTTCAATTTATAACAATGAAAATCATATCAGATATTTACATGACGATTCATAACAGTAGCAAAATTACAGTTATGAAGTAGCAACGAAAATAATTTTATGGTTGGGGGTCACCACAACATGAGGAACTGGATTAAAGGGCCGCGGCATCAGGAAGGTTGAGAACCACTGCTATATAGTAAAAGGCGGAACATGGCGGGCGTCGGCCGAGGCGGGATGGTGGAGCAGGTGAGTGGGGGCGCCAGACCAAGGCGGGGCACCAGTCCCTGTCATGGGGTGAGCCTCTGGTGGCTACTGAAAATTCTTTGCTCCTGCACACTGCAGTCCTGCCTGGTGCTCCCACCTGGCCCAGCTCCAGCCCCAATTGCCCCTCAGGGCTTCTCCACCTTCCCCTGCTCCTGAGGGGTGATTGGGGCAGCAGCTGCCGCTCACACCCGCTGATGGCACCAGCCCCAATAGGTCAGCGCCATCAGCCAGTGTGAGCTGGGCTGATGCTGCCAGTGCATGGGAGTGGTGGTGGTGGGAGCGCAGCTACCGCAGACAGGGGACCGGTGGCCATGGTGGGAGGGGCCGGGCGGGGGCCCAGAGGATGGGCTGAGTGCCCACCGCAGCCCCTGTGCCCACCACAAGCCTCGAGGCCCACAGTTCCTTTCAAGGTGCATGAATTCGTGCACTGGGCCCCTAGTTCTATATATATAAAAGGCTAAGTTGACTTGCACACGTGCAATACATATAAAGCTCTCACTGGCACCAATTGCACACGTGTGTTTCCATCTGTCATTGTGGATTGTAAATTTGGTAGAGAAAGGGTGAATATCGATATTAATATATTTCTTCTAATTCATTTCCTCTCAACGTGCACGTAATCTGTGCACCAGGACACTAGTAAGTATATAAGTTCTTTGGTTTATCTCTTCTTGTCCCCCCAACCCCACATCCAGGTATGTCAGCCTGTTCCATGCCTCCCTGCTTCAGGTCCTATTTTGTTAATTCATTTTGCTCATTAGATTCCACAAATAAGTGAGATCATGTGATTTTGTCTTTCTCAGTTTGGCTTATTTCACTTAGCATAATAGTTTCCAGGTCCATCCACCCTAGAAAACTTTTCACCACATGTTCGGTCTTAATGTTTTGTTATGATGGTTTATGGGGTTTTATCATAGTAACTTATTAAATAAAGTAAGACATTTTAAAGGAGGAGAAAGCTACAGTATTGTCAGTATTTACAACTAAAAATTGCTGACACTCACTTATGTAGACTGTGATCAAAGGACAATGAACAATTGCTTTTTTTATCCTAATACTCATGGTTACGTAAACATTTAAAATCCCCCTTTTATCCATGTAACACAGTCTGTGGCAACAAAGAGCTCACCCTTGTGGCCAATCCTCGCAATTACCATTACATTACCAACTATAAAGGTTAAGCGTAAAAAGCAGTTACAAAAACTCACTGTGTATTTGTGTTGCTGTGAAAAGATTCTACCAATTTCTGCCATCCAATTGATGTATATTATTTTAAAACTTTTTCTTGAAAAACGAAACGCAGATACAGAAAATCACACCAAAATGAATGTATAACTTAACGAATCATAAGGCATATGTCAATATTGAATATTAAGTTATTAAATTAAAATTAATCTAACCTTATGTAGCATCAAATTAATATTAGCTTATTACTATGTAATTAGAAGGCACGTAACTACCACCCACATCAAGAAACAGAACTTTTCCGCCCGAGAAGGCCTTCCATGTGCTTCTTTCAGTCACATCCTTCCCTCCGAGTGACCACGAAGATAGCCACTCCCTTGTGCTTCTTTATAGTTTTTTCTCCCAAGCGAACACCCTGGGACTCTATTGTTGTCCATTTAACATTTTCTTTTCTTTTCTTTTTTTTTTTTTTTTTTACAGAAAATTAAGGATTTAATGCAAAACTTACATTGTTCTACAGGACTTCAGGAATAAACAGCTATTGACGTGGCCTTCAAAAGCCCAAACACAATCCCAAATGGAGGGTCATAATTATCTTAGAGAAGTCAATCCCGAATTCACCAGCACTGTTTGTTAGTTTAGGCCGGTGTTGCTCATTCTAATTCTTTTTTTTTTTTCTCCCATTCCCCTTTCCCCGCCAAGAATAGTCAGTCCATTCCCTTTCTATGTCCCTGATTCATTATAATCACCAGTTCATTCTGTACATCAGATTATTTATTCACTTGATTCTTAGATTCACTTGTTGATAGATGCATGTTTGTTGTTCACAATTTGTATCTTTACCTTTTTCTTCTTCCTCCTCTTAAAGGATACCTTTCAGCATTTCGTATAATACTGGTTTAGTGGTGATGAACTCCTTTAGCTTTTCCTTATCTGTGAAGCTCTTTATCTGACCTTCAATTCTGAATGATAGCTTTGCTGGATAAAGTAATCTTGGTTGTAGGTTCTTGGTATTCATCACTTTGAATATTTCTTGCCATTCCCTTCTGGCCTGCAAAGTTTCTGTTGAGAAATCAGCTGACAGTCGTATGGGTATTCCCTTGTAGGTAATTGAGTCTCTTTCTCTTGCTGCTTTTAAGATTCTCTCTTTGTCTTTTGCTCTTGGCATTTTAATTATGATGTGTCTTGGTGTGGTCCTCTTTGGATTCCTTTTGTTTGGGGTTCTCTGCGCTTCTTGGACCTGTAAGTCCATTTCTTTCACCAGGTGGGGGAAGTTTTCTGCCATTATTTCTTCAAATAGGTTTTCAATATCTTGCTGTCTCTCATCTTCTGGCACCCCTATTATTCTGATGTTGGTACGCTTGAAGCTGTCCCAGAGGCTCCTTACACTATCTTCGTATTTTCGGATTCTTTTTTCATTTTGCTTTTCCGGTTGGGTGTTTTTTGCTTCTTCGCATTTCAAATCTTTGGCTTGATTCTTGCGCTCCTCTGGTCTGCTATTGGGTGTAATATTCTTTATTTCCGACCGTGTATGCTTAATTTCTAGTTGTTTCTTTATCATAGCATCGAGGGTCTCATTAGTTTTCGTGAGGCTCTCCAGAAGTTTATTGCAAGCCCTCAAAATTGCGTTTTTTAGCTCTATATCCTCCATTTCTGTCATGTTTTTTTGTCTCCGCATTTTTTATGCTTTCTTGGTGCACCCCCTAGTGGTCTTTGTGCGCAGTCTTGTTCTAGTTGAGCCTTGATTGTTGTAGTTAATACTAGAGGGATTTGACCACCAGGCCGACTGGCTGTGAGAATCAGCTGTATCTGCAGTGGGAAAACTTCTGTCCTCTGGGGAGGTGCTAATCTAGCCTTTGCCTGAGGCGATCTGGCAAATGGCTCTGCGCAGGGCTTGGGCGGGGCGGGCTCAACAGGGCGGGCGGGCGGAGGGAGCGGTTATGGTGCCCTCAGTCCCGTTCCCAGAGGCTCTGCTTCTCAGAACCCCCGGAACCGCTGCAAACCTCGGAGGGAAAGCTGCCTTCCAACTGATGCCAGACACTCCCGCTTCTCCCGTTTGGGTCCGAGTCCCCAGCGATTCGCCCGTATCTGGAGCTCAGAGTCTGAGACTCCCCCCTGACCGAAAACGACAACCGCGCTCTCAGCCACCAGCCCGCTTTGCGCGCGCACCTCCGCACCTGAGTATTTTCCACACTGCGCCTCCTCTGAGCCTCGGTATGCTGTTGTCTTTCCTTCTAGTTGAAGAGTCTCTCCTCAGCCAGCCTTCCTGTGGTTCTGGGTGATGTCCGTTCCATCTTTTAGTTGTATTTTTGAAGTGGTTGTTTGCGGTAGCAGTCTCCGGTGTTTACCTATGCCACCATCTTGCTCGGAATCCCATTTAACATTTTCGATGTTAAGTCTCTAAATCTTCAAGTTTCTCCTTGACCCCTTTCTCAGCCTTACCACTGACCTCTGGGGACCCCTGAGTCCTTGACTTGGGACGTGTCCTGCCGCTGGGATGTCGCTGGGAACATGCTCTCGGTGCAGGTCAGCACGTCTGGGTTTCCTTCCACTTGGCAGCTGGGGGAAGCTGAGGGTGGGGAGTCTGACTCCACCTCCCTGGCAAGACCATAGGTGGTGATGTGACCTTGAACAGGAGGCACACGCCCTTTTGTTACATAAGCAACCATTGATGCTTAATACCTACTTCCATTCATTCACTGCGAGTTGCAAAATGGTACTATTCTAATTCTGTCACTTTTTTGATTATTAGTTGTAATGTCTTCATAAAGAGATGCCTCCCTTTGTCAGTGGGTTTCCTGGTGGTAACTGATGTGGGAAAGGCAAGAAGAGTGCTTGATTCTTTTACTTTATGTACCAGGGCTTCGAGTTGCTTCCTTACATCCCCCAAATGTGATTGTTTACATTTAAAAAATATATAATGAACCTGTGGACTTAACCAATTTCAGCCCCTTGGGCTTAGGCAAGGGACGCCTCTTGCAGTTGCTCCTGCATCCCCTTTACGGGGCTAGTGGTCTTCCACGGCTTCACTGTGAGCTGATATGACAAGATGATATGACTGGGGTCAGTGTGTACACTTCCTGCCCCAAACCAGGCATCATCCAATTCTTCAAGAAGCCTTGGTTTGTTTCAGTGGGAAGCGGTATGTCAAAATAATAACTTGTAGTAAAGATGCTCATTGCTACCATGATGGGCCTTTTCAGTTAATATAATGCAATATATGATACGATACAATGTAATAATATAATATATAGTATAAATACCCCATGAGTTCATACTGATACTTCAAATTCAGATTTAGGACTACAGGGTTTTTACTTAGCCTCTTCTAACTTCCACTTGTATATATATCATTCTCAGAAACAAGACGGATAATAGAATATTCCATACTGACTCATTTGCTTTATCCTATACTAGAGGCTCAGTGCACGAATTCGTGCATGGGTGGGGTCCGGCCGGCCCACCCCCATCAGGGCCGATTGGGCTGGACCAGCTGGGGGTAGGAGCCCTGGGTGGTTGGCCGGCCTGCCCCACCCCCTGGTCAAATTCCGGGTTGAACTCCTAGTTGAACTCGGGGTGGAGGGGACAATTTGCATATTAGTCTTTTATTATATAGGATTACAACAGTCTCAAAGCAACAATACTAATACCATCACTGCCTATATAATTACTAAAAACAGTTATTTAATTTATTTTTTAAATGTTATTTATTGACTTTAGAGAGAGAGAGAGAAACATCAATTTGTTGTTCCACTTATTTATGCATTCATCGGTTATTTCTTATGTGCCCTGACCAGAGATCAAACCCCATAATCTTGGCTTATTGGGATGATGCTCTAACCAACTGAGCTACCTGGCTAGGGCTAAAAACAGTTTTTAAAACCCCTTTATATGCCCCCTCGCCCTATACTTGTCCCATTAAAGAACAACACCCAGCTATATACTATATCTACATCCTCAGAGCATACGGCCAATACAGATGATACTCACTCTCCTAGCTCCTTCCAACTCCCCTCCACAAGTAGCTGTGCGTCTAGCACTCGCCGCCAGTCCATCTCCCGTCTCCCCAGCGGAAGCTCTCTTCCCGCAGGTTCACCTTCCCTCCAAAAGAGGATGCGACTCACTAAGACTCACCCCGGGGGCCCTGTGACCGCACTTGCACTCGGGGTGGGAGAACTTCTCCTTTGCAACCCACCATGCGGTCCTTGCAGCTGATGGCGGTGGCGGTAGGACAGCGGGAGGGAAGGAGAAGGCCGGACTTGCTCCCTTCCGTTCCCCTGGCCCAGCTTTCTCAGCTCCAGCGCTGTCCACATTGGGGGCTGGGAATTCTCGCTGTGGGTGCTGCCTGCGCCTGGCAGGATGGTTAGCAGCACCTCTGGCCTCTAACACCACCCACCCCACCCGGCGCGTTGTGACCTGGGACGTCTCGCTGGAGGGCACACTCACCTGGCTGAGGACCCCGGCCCTGCACTTGCTGTTCTGACCCCCAGGAATTGGCACATTGTAAATTTAAGCAGCTAGCGCTAGCCCCTGAGTGAGGTGGACTAATGCTGTCTCAACTTTACGCAATATTAAAATCCCTTCGTCCTAACCGGTTTGGTTCAGTGGATAGAGCGTCGGCCTGCGGACTGAAGGGTCCCAGGTTCGATTCTGGTCAAGGGCATGTACCTTGGTTGCGGGCACATCCCCAGTAGGGAGTGTGCAGGAGGCAGCTGGATCGATGTTTCTCGTCAATGTTTCTAACTCTCTATCCCTCTCCCTTCCTCTCTGTAAAAAAAAACAACACCTCAATAAAATATATATTTTAAAAATCCCTTGGAAGGAAAATCCATGGCTGAAAGCTAACTTTGTACTAACTACCTCTATTATAATAATAGCCAACATTTGCATAGCATAATATTTATACAATTTATTATTATTTTTCTTCTGGGTATTGTCTTCCAGTGACTCTTTTATCTTTAAAAAAATCTTTATTGTTGAAAGTATTACATCTGTCCCACCCTTTTTTTTCTCATTGATCCATTATAGCCCACCCCCAATATTTATATAATTTACAGAATAATTTCCACTTGGGGACACGGGTTAGTAAGCTCAGTGGGGATTATTAAATCTTTCTGTTTTGCAGGTGAGAACGCAAGGCCTAACGTGGCTGAGCAGGTACCAGGTGAGAGAACCAGGGGCAGTCTGACCAAGCGCTCACCTGACCGTGTGGTGGCTCGTTTCCGCCCGTGATGCACACGCAGACATGCGCACTCGCACGCAGGTCCACACACTCACCGCCTCTTGTCTCCGATTCTGCTTCTTAACGTTTCCATTTTACTTCATTTTCTTCAGGAAGAAATCAGGAATCTGCCGTTAGAGGCGGCTCACGCTGTTGTCGCATAGTCTACCACCAGGTGTCGCTGTAGCACACCGTCACTGTTTTCCTTTCATAGGCGAATTCCTAATTTACTGAATTCTCCAAGGATTGATATTCCGGCTAATTGTAAGGAAGTGTATCATGCAACTCAAAAGAGCCAAATAAAAGCATAATGAGGATTAAAACAGTGACTAGGAACCATGGTGAGAAGGGGTTTTAGTTGACTTTGCATATAACAGGAAGGGAGATGCACGTTTGACCTTCAGCGCTACAGTTCTTTTTATTTTATTTTATACTTTGTGTGACAGTTGTTTATTATCATTCTCAAGTATTATGTACTGTATATAACTGTACGTGCTATAATTTTATTTTTTTATAATTCTTTGTTGTTGAAAGTATTGCATATGTCCCATTTTTCCCCACATTTCCCCCCCTC